AATAGAAGAATATTAGGACACTTGGACTCCTTTTACTTCCTCCTTACCTGTGATGTTATTGTTATATTTTTACATTATTTGACTTTAATCTTGCAATTTGTTATTGTCTTGTACTATCAGTGTTCATTTAAATTAAACCATATATAACTCTTTAGGCTTTTCATTCCTTCTTGCAATTCAGACATGCCATCTGAAAACACTTATATTCTGCCTGTAGGATACGCTTTAGTATTTCACTTAGGAAAGGTCTGTGGTAACATATTTGAAGTTATTTGCCTCCAATTTTCTTTTGTTTGAGACGAAGTTTCGCTCTATTCGCCCAGGCTGGAGGGCAATGGTGAGATCTTGGCTCATTGCAACCTCTACCTCCCAGGTTCAAGTAACTGTCCTGCCTCAGCCTCCCAAGTAGTTGGGACTGCAGATGCATGCCACCACACCTGGCTAATTATTTTTATTTTTAGTGGAGATGGGGTTTCACCACATTGACCAGGCTGGTCTCAAACTCTTAACCTCAGGTGATCTGCCTACCTCAGCCTTGCAAAGTGTTGGGTTTACAGGTGTGAGTTTCACCACATTGACCAGGCTGGTCTCAAACTCTTAACCTCAGGTGATCTGCCTACCTCAGCCTTGCAAAGTGTTGGGTTTACAGGTGTGAGCCACCGTGCTGGACCTAATTTTGTGTATTTAGTAGAGGCAGGGTTTCTCCATGTTGGTCAGGCTGATCTCAAACTCCCAACCTCTGGTGATCCGCACACCTCAGCCTCGCAAAGTGCTGGGATTAAATACAGGCATGAGTCACTGTGCCCGGCCACTATCTTTCTTTTGTTATCAAGTTTAAGAGTTATTTTTGCTGAGTATAAAGTTCTAGGTTGAGAGATATTTTTCTTTCAGCATATTGAAGATACCATTTTATGATGTTCTGGTTTCCATTGTTGTTCTTACAAGGTTGTCACCGGGCGTGGTAGCTCACGCCTGTAATCCCAGCACTTTGGGAGGCTGAGGTGGGCGGATCATGAGGTCAGGAGCTCGAGATCATCCTGGCCAACATGGTGAAACCCCGTCTCTATTAAAAATGCAAAAAATTAGCTGAGCACGGTGGTTCGTGCCTGTAATCCCAGCTACTCAGGAGGCTAAGTCAGGAGAATCACTTGAACCTGGGAGCTGGAGGTTGCAGTGAGCCAAGATCATGCCACTGCACTCCAGCCTGGAGACACAGTGAAACTGTCTCAAAAAAAGAAAGTTGTCAAGCTAACTGCTGCTTTGTTTATTTGTTTGTTTTTTGGGCTATTCTTTAGGGATTTTTCTTTTCTTTGGTGTCCATTTTCTTTGGTGTGGTTTCAGTATGATGTATTCATTTAATAAGGATTTTATTCTAATTGGAGCTCATCGGGCTTCTTGAGTCAGTGGATTGTTATTTTTAGTGGTTGTAGAAATCCTTTCATATATTTCCCCTTGTCACTATTTCTCTTCTGTCTTTCTGGAGCTTTAATAGGACATGTTATAACCCCCACTCTGTCCTCAGTGTATCAAACTTACTTTCCTTTCTGAGCTGCATTCTGAAGAATTTTTTAGGACCTAACTTTCAGTTCACTGATGGCACTCTTCGGCTTGATTTAATTGTTGTTAAATCTGTCCTGTAATTTTAGATTTTAGCAATTGTGGCTTTCATTTCTAGAAATTTTATTTGGTTCATTTTTAAAAAGTGTCTCCTGTACTACAGATATTTTTTTGTATGCCTTTTTTCAAACTTACTATTTAAATCTTCATCTGTTTAATCTAGTATCTCAGATTTTTTACAGTTTTCTTTCTGCTTAGATATTTTTGACTTTTGGGGTTTTTTTGTGGGAGAGGGTGGGGATGAGTTATTCATTTTACTTGAGGAATTAATTATGATTGTTCCTTGAGGCTCAGGATCAAGGTGTTTGTTCCTCCAGAGAGAATTTGCCTACAACATTAAAGGCTTTACATTTGGGATCATTTTAACCTAAATTAATAGCTTGGTTTTCCTTTAGACTTCCAAGAAATGTAAATTTAGATTGTAAATTTTTGTGAAAGCTTCCTTTTGGTTAGAACTTTTCAGGGACTTTTCTTCTTTCTGTGCTAGTCACAAAGCTAATCTTCCTGGTAGTCTTCTGAAGATGGGAGTAGTAGTAGATAGGGTAGGTTATTTTCAGCCTATACTAATAGATTAATGCAGTGAGAGTGTCCTGTTGACTTCCCACCTTGGGCTACTCTGGGATTTACTTCTTGCCTGCTACCCCATGAGGCTGACCAAACCAAAGCTCAATGTCACAGAGTTAGAGTTTTAGCCTAGTTACTCCTTATAATCATGGCAACTTTTAGTTTTTCTTTAAAAAAGAAAGTCTTTATACTCATTCATTGGGCATTTTCTGAAGTAAGGTTAGTTTATATTAATCATTCTCCAAATTAGACATTAAGCTTGTTTCTTTAGGATTTTGCTGTTTTTAAATAACACTGTGATAAACTGATTTCATAGGTTAAAATGTTATCTCATGTATTAATTCGTATTCACTTAGTTGCTATCCTGGTGGTACATTTTCTAAATGTGAAGAATCCGTTCTTAGTCATTCAGACCTGAAACATTTTTCTTAAAGGTTTGTGTAATTGCTTCATGAAATGAAGATACGAATGTGTTGTCTAACAGGTTACTTTGCCATATAATGTTTCTGTTTCTGCTTATTTAGGTAGTGTAGATTATATAGACACTTGAAGAATGCTTGTTTTGTCAAATTTTAGCAAATGTTCTTATTATCTTATCTTACAGGGAAACAGTTATTTAAATTTGGTCATGATAATTGTTTGCCAGTTCTTTTATATATTTCTGTTGAATGTTCTGTGATAGTTATCTCAAAATCTTTCCTCATTTCTCTCAAATCTACTGCTTGCTGGAGCTCTGCCTCACCCATTCTGTAGCCATACGTATTAGCCACTTTGCCATGCTTAAAAACTACTCCCCTTCATCAGTGGTTTATAGAAATTAACGTTTTTCTCTCCCACATGCCTCAGTAGCTGTGAATAAGCTCTTGCAGCCATCCTCCACTTGTCTTTTTAATGTAGGGCCGACACCAAAGATCCGCTCCTCTTTGAGACATGGCATTCTTGTGGCAGACAGTAAAGAATAAGGGAGCAGGTATAAACCCGTAATGCCACTTAAAGTTTCTGTATAGAAGTAGCATGTGTCATTTCCACCATTATTGTTTGGGGAAAAACAGGACATGATCAAGCCCAGTGTGAACTGCTTGGAAATGTGTGCTCCTCCGCCAAAAGGCATTGCAAGTCATGTATGGCCAGCTATATAGAAGGGAGCAAACAGATATTTTGCAGCAATAATACAGTAGCCACCATACCTCTGCTTATGTTTAACTTTATTTTTAGTTTTTCTAGTGTAGATTTTCGTAATTGCTTGGTTCTATCTTGAAGCCTCTTTGTGAAGTCTTCTTTGTGCCTTATAGTTTTTTCTGTTGTAAAAATGAATCATTTTACCTATGATCTTGTGCTTACTTGCATGTAAGTTGAGCAAAGACAAAATCTTGTCTGCTTTGTTTCTGACTAGAATGCTTTAGCTCATGATACGCTTTCAACATGTATTTGTAAAATGGATTTCACTCTCCCTTCTTATTTCATCAGTTATTCTGTCAGTTACTCTCATTTTTTGTATCTCAATGTCAATTCTCTGCTAATTCTATCCCTGCAGTCTCTTGTGACTGTATTTTTTGAATTACTATAATTAGTTACATATTTAATAAATTAATTCTTTTTAATGAAGAAAATGAAATTATATGAGTTTTTAACTCTTAGAAAATGGAGCCTACATACTTGTGCCTATAAATATGCTCATCGCCCTATCATTAAAAAAGCAAACTCCCTGCTTTGAGCTTTGCAGTCTAACCTCTCACTATTTCTGTAATAGTGTTGTTTACCTTCCTCATTTCTCATTCTCTGTGCTCTATATTGAAGGTGCTTCTCATCCCCCCTTTGAAACTATTCCTCTAGATTTTGAGGTACTATAATTCCTTGTTTTTTTTTTTTCTATTTCTAAGGCTATTCTCTTTCTGTAGGATATTCCTTTTTCTTCTATTGCTTAAGTGTACCTCTACCCCCAGGCTGTGTCTTTAGCCTTCATTCCTTGTCTTGTGCCCTTTTTAGTAGAGCTCTCATTTTGTATGGCTTTCACATTTATGTCTACACAGGTAATTCACAAATTTATGTGTTTACTTATTATAATCTGAGTTTGCTCCTTTATTTCCACTTTTTGGCATTTCTATTTGAATGTCTTATCATCTTGAATTTGAAATGCCCCAAACCAAATTAATCATTTGTCTACTAAAAGTGACTCCTTCGTTGGAACTCTTATTTTTGTTGATGATACACAGTCACCAGGCTTTTTAAAGGAAAGAGAAGAACCAGCATTTGTTGAGTATTTAGTACACACTAAATACTTTGCGTCTTTGATTACATAATAGTTAGTTCTGGTTTTACCTCCAGAGAAAACTTATATGACCAGTTACAGCAAATTGACTGTGATCACTTCTTAGTCCAGTTGTAGTACATTTGAATTTGTACCATTCTACCCTCATCATGAATCTCCTGTTATTCATACTTTGAGTTCGTAAGCCTCTCAAAGGCAAGGATTTTAACTTACTTTTTTTAATAAAAAGTAAGTTAGCATAGTTACCCGACAAGTACAATATGATTTAATAACATTTAGTAAGTAATTGATTTTTTTATTATGAAATATTACTCTAAATAAGTGAAAGAATCTCAGGATGTACTCTTGATCCTTGAACCCAATTCAAAGGGGTTAGCCTGTGGATGTGGCAGAGGCTCTTTATATGTTAAAGATCACTTGTTGAACAGATCTTTACTCTGTAACAGAATCTCTTTGTTAGTAATGTACTTTCATATGGCCATTTTATATTGCCTTGATAACCATATTTATAGAAGGTAGCATATTTACTTTAGCTTCTCTTTCCCTTTAGGTGCACCAGGTATAATTTCTTCACCATATGCAGGGGCTGCTGGATTTGCCCCAGCCATTGGATTTCCTCAAGCTACAGGTGACTCTTTTAAGTTGGATTTGAAATGATTTTCAATGAAGTTGTATGTTTTCTAAAATTTATCAAGATGAAGAATGTTATCATAGTTGAAGAATTTACCATAAAAGTATTATGCATATCAGCTATAGAAGATTGGTGATTTGTATGATACATACCTTCCTTGTTTTTACGAATAATTCTCTCTGGTTCCATTCTTAATTCCAGTAATATTAAATCTTAATATTATTAAGATTTAAATTCTTAAATCCATGATATGTTCTGCATCATTTCTGTTTGCCATTGGCACAAATAACTATGGGTTAATGACATTAAATAACCTTAGATTTGCCTTTCCAGTTGGTATATAAAATATGTAAGCTGCTTCTGTCTTTACTGATAAGCTTATCAATTATGTGTTGAACAGACTTGTCTATCTTTGAGTCTTTAATGCCTTTGACAGCACTCAACAAATAATATGCAGTCATACTATACATTCACTATTCAGCTTCTTCAGAAAACCTTTTGTTATTAATGGGTTTTGAAGATTGCTATAGATGGGTATGCATGCTGTGCATTTCAGGGGAGATATATACTTTGTCTCTTTAGCTAATGGAGGTAATTAGGAGATAGGAGTTGATTAATACTTTGATAATGACTCCCATTATTTTCCAAATAGTAAACAAAATGAATTTGATTATAATTTAAGGAAAAGAGAAAATATTACTTTATGATTTTTATCTCTGATGTCTAAAAAATACACTGAGGTTGGCGCACAGGGGAATGGCAGAGTGGTAAGCCTCTCTCTACATAATTGTGACTATAACTGTATCTTAAATTACAACATAGCTGCTTTCTGGCTGTAATCTTTGTATCATAACCTTTGAATTCTGGGAATTTTAACTCTCCTCCTCCTCCTCCTCCTCCTCCTCCTCCTCCTCCTTCCCACCCCACCTCCTCGTTGGTGTGGGGCAGAGTCTTGCTGTGTTGCCCAGGCTGGAATGCAGTGGCACAATCTCAGTTTACTGCAACCTCCATTTCCGGGGTTCAAATGATTCTCATGCCTCAGCCTTTTGAGTAACTGGGACTAGAGGTGCATGCCACCACGGCCAGCTGTTATATGTTTAGTAGAGATGAGGTTTTGCCATGTTGTCCAGGCTGGTCTCAAACTCCTGGCCTCAAGTGGCCTGCCTGCCTCAACCTCCCAGAGTGCTGGGATTACAGGGTAAGCCACCCCACATGGCCAGTAACTACTCTTTCTTCGATGGAGAGGATGGAGTTAACCAAAACGGAAAGAGTGATATGAAGGTTGAGGTTTTAAATTTTACCATCTTGGTGGTTTTTAGTGTATCTTTAGTTTAGTTAAGTGAATATTCTACCTATTACGTTAAAAACATAGTTTTATTTATTCAAAGCTCCTCAAAGTTTAATTGGTGGACATTTTGATATGTTTTCCCTCATTTTGGATATTTCTTTTAGATACACTCTATGTACAAATATTAAGTAATAAATATTAAGAAAGATGAAAAGTCAATAAAAGAGGGGTTCTGACTTGATAAGACTTTTAAGTTGATAGAGGATACACACACACCTACAGTGTAGCTGAACTGTGCTCTTAGCACATGTATAACAGACATACAAATGGCAAAAGTTATGCAAAACTATTGGAGTTGGACTGGAGGGGCATAAGAATAGGTCATGTGAGGGCTATTGATTTCATGCAGTAGTATTCAGCCTGAGAATGTGGTCTGCACAGTTTTAAAATTCAGCAGTGTGGATGATGGTAGTTATGACCTTCTTAGATGGTTAAGCAGAATAGGCTGAATGTAAAATATATTACAATTTAATTACATGGTATGTGGGAAAGTGGCCAGACTGTTTATTTTAAAGAATCATTAAATTAAGGAATTGGTTAACTTTACATAAACTAGAAGGTTACCTTAAGATACTTTTTAAGCTAAGAACACAAAATAACAGGAAAGTCTGCAGTTTTAAGTATAGTGTCAATATTCTGGTGTTACTGAGCTTTCAGTGGTTCCAAAATACCTAGAGAAGTAGAGACCTCTGAATATTTCTACTACAGTAAGAATATTGAATACTGTAAATCTATTTTGGTCAGAATAATGTTTATATAGCATTTTATATAGTCACAAAATGTTTTTCCCGTATAAAATGTCATATAGCACTACCTAGCATGCATGTTTTTGACTTCTGCTGAAGGTCTTTAAAAAAAATACTTACCTGATTTTATGGTAGAAGCCAGTATGAAAAGTATATACACTTGATAGAAAGGTGCTAGAATATATCTATTGCAAGAAACAGGGAGTGTTTGTAGTTGATAGACCCTCTGAAAAGCCTAACAGCGTTAGGCCAAGTGATTTCAGTTAGTCTGCAGAGTACCTTATGAATAATAGAATACAAAGTATAATAATGTCAACAGATGAGGAGCTCAGCTTGCAGGCAGACTGTAGGGCAGAAAACTGGCCTTCAGTATCTTTATGGTAGCCTTGACACAATTTCTTTCTGTATTTTTGCTTTCTTCTTTATTTGCTGAAATTCTATCAAGTGTTACAGTTCTTCTGATAATTAGAATATGAAATGCTTTTGGTATTTTTAAAAGGTCTATCAGTTCCAGCTGTTCCTGGAGCTCTTGGTCCTCTCACAATCACCTCCTCTGCTGTCACTGGAAGGATGGCCATTCCTGGGGCTAGTGGTATACCGGGAAATTCTGTTCTACTCGTCACAAATCTCAATCCTGATGTGAGTTGAAAAGTATTCTATATAAATAGTCTTTCAGGAGAAGGTATAGTAGCAATTTTTTTTGAGAAAGAGTTTCACTCTGTTACTCAGGCTCAAGTGTGGTGCTGCATTCACTCACTGTGACCTCTGCCTCCCAGCTCAAGTGATCCTCCCACCTTAGCCTCTCAAGTAGCTGGGACTACAGGCGCTCACCACCACGCCTGGCTAATGTTTTTTGGGTTTTTTTTTGTTTTTTTCTTTTTGCATTATTTTGTAGAAATAGGATCTTGCTATGTTGCCCAGGCTGGTCTTGAGCTCCTGGTCTCAAGCAATCCACCCACTTCAGCCTCCCAAAGTGCTGGGATTACAGGAGTGAGCCACCATGCCCGGCTTGGTAGCTTCTGATCCAGGGTTGTATTCAAATTAAAATGCTTAAGTTGGTTTTAAGGACTTTTATTAAAATTCATCACTAGTATATAAAACCATTGCATTAAAATAAAAGCTGTCAGAGTATAAACTTATTTTCAATTTTTACTTAAATTATTGTCAGACACTTATTTTGTGTTACCTTTACAGCTTATCACACCACATGGGCTTTTTATCCTATTTGGTAAGTTCATTTTTGCTATTTTAATATTGTCTACACGTGTGAATTTAACAATTTCATTTATTTAGTAGTATTTATTGATTACTTCTATGTGCCAAGTATTGTGCTGACACTGAGGATAAAACAGTGAATAAGACTCTGTAAGTAATTATAGTGATGATTTATAATATGGGAAATAGAGGTTTTGTGTAACACAGGGAGGCCTAACCTAGCAGAAGGACTCAATAGAAATGATAGTTAAGCTGACTTGTGAAACATGAGCAAGAATCAGCCAGGCAGAAAGGGAGGGCAGTGTCTTCACAGGGGAGGGGAGAGGAGAGAGATGGGTCCTGGTACACGGAAGTACCAGGAAGGAAGCCTAGTGGCGAGCATAATGCAGACCTGGTGAAGGTGGACAGCTGCTTGGGTCAAAATCATGAAGAGCTTTTGAAAACTTTGTTAAGGAGTTTATAGTTTTTAACCTAAGAACAATGGGAAGCCATTGAATAGTTATGAGGCAAGAGAGTGACATAATGCAATTCAGGTTTTTAAAATAGTCTCCAAACTTTCCAACAGCATAGAATTATGAGAACAGTGAAATAAGCAATATTTACTATTTTTAATATTTTTATTTATGTTATTTATTTATAATTTTTTGAGGCAGAGTCTTGCTCTGTGGCCCAGGCTGGAGTGCAGTGGCATGATCTCAGCTCACTGCAGCTCCAACTCCTGGTTTAAGCAATACTCCTACCTCAGCCTTTCGAGTAGCTGGGATTAAGGCACGGGCCACCACGCCCAGCTAATTTTTGCATTTTTAGTAGAGATGGGATTTCACTATGTTGGCCAGGATGGTTTCGATCTCCTGACCTCATGATCTGCCTGCCTTGGCCTCCCAGAGTGCTGGGATTACAGGTGTGAGCCACCGCACCTGGCAAGATTTTAATTAATGACAGTTTTTTTTTCCATAAAAAATGATTAACATTTGGTGAGCAATATGATTTAATACGCTTTGATATTAAAAATCCTTGTTTTCATTTTGATTCAGTATTCCAAGGATAGATCATTTCACTACTTGACTTTAATGGTTGTCGTAGCTGAGGAAGATAAGTCATAAAGATATATAATCTAAAAGCAGGGGTTTCATTGTTGCTATACTCTAATAATTATTTCACTATTTTTTTCATGTAATCCACCAATCTTTGTCATGCTTTACCTAGAAAAGTTCGATTTTTTCCTCTTAAATTAGTGGATCTTGAAACTGTTATATTTGAATATATGTAACAAATAGAGTTAAAACTCACTGGTATGCTTCATTTATAAGGATTTTTAAAATAAGATAGGAAATTGTTTCTAACTTTTTTGAATCTGATAGTTTTAGAGACAGGGTCTCACTCTGTTGCCCAGGCTGGAGTGCAGTGGTGTGATCATAGCTCACTGCAGTGTCAAACTCCTGGGCTCAAGCAGTCCTCCTCCCTCAGCCTTCTGAGTAGCTGACATATACATGTAAGCCACAGCACCCGACTGATAAGGTTTTTTTTTTTTTTAATGGAATTTTTGAGGTATAATTTACAACCATACAGTTTACCTGCTTTGGGTTTACAGCTCAAAGATTTTTAGTAAATTCACAGTTATGTGGCTATCACCACAGTCCAATTTTAGAAAATTTTCATCACCCAAAGAAATTCCTCATGCTCATTTACAGTCACTTATAAGAGTTTTTATTAATGATCGATGCATGTAATTTTCAGTAATAAAATCATGTATTAACAGTATATTTTAATATGGCTCTTTTCTAGCAAAGCATGTTTTATACTAAAAGCAGTTAAATTTCTCACCTATTTAAAAAATGACTGGGTACATTAGCTCATGCCTGTAATCCCAACGCTTTGGGAGGGCCAGGAAGGAGGATCAGATTATTTGAGACCAGCCTCGGCCAGATAGTGAGACCCCATCTCTACAAAAAATAAACAACCACATTTTGAAAAACAAATTGAGTATGTTTAATTTTTAAAGAATAGTTTACATCACCATCTTGTTATTTCTGAGAAGGGTAGCAAATTCAGAATACTTGTCTCTGTTTAAAATTTTTAAAGTGCCATTAGTATGGTAATGATGCGACTATTGAAAGATCTTTTTATTTTTATTTTTTAACTTTTTTGAGACAGGGTTTTACTCTGTTGACCAGGCTGGAGTGCAGTGGCATGATCTTGGCTCACTGCAACCTCCACCTCCCAGATTCAAGCTGTTTTCCCACCTCAGCCTCCTGAGTAGCTGGGATTACAGGTGTGCACTACCACACCTGACTAATTTTTGTGTTTTTTGGTAGAGACGGGGTTTCACCATGTTGGCCAGGCTGGTCTCGAACTCCTGACCTCAAGTGATCCACCCACCTTGGTCTCCCATTGTGCTGGGATTATAGGTGTAAGCCACTGCACACTGCTGAAAGATTTTTATAATATTGATGATACCGGGTATCACATAAACTGAAATATATTGTAATACACTGAATGAAAAGGTTGAGCGAGACTGGAATTCACTTTGTAGAACCTTCCAGCTATAATTTTATCTATATATTCAAAATTCAAACACTAGCTTTATTCATATTGGTTTATATAAGCAGATTGGTATAGATAAGAGTTTGATTATTATCTTTCTATGCCTCAGTGAATCATTTTACCCATCCTGCAGGAGATAGGACCCACTTTGGGGAACACTAGTATAGAAAAATCGAGTGTAATAAGATTAATTAGGATCAATTAGGTTGTGGTAGTCCCAGTATGAAATAGTGTTGATAGCTTTGATGGTAGCAAGGATTGGAGACATGGACAAATGTGAGAGATATTTAGACCATAGAATCAATGGGTGCTGGTGATTGATTGGGTGGGTGTAAGGGTTTGAGGAAAGGAAGAAGTCAAAAGATGACTTCCAGGTGTCTGACTGGGGCAACTATGTGAATGAGGATATTTATCTACAGAGTTAGTGAACACAGAATGGGGAGAGGAAAGCGGGGAGGAATCACTTTGGGACATATTAAGTTTAGAGTATTTATGGGATGTCCATGTGAAAAAGATTAAGTACAGAAATGGATCTGGAATTTGGAAGAGATAAACATTTGCGAGTATATGTATGGAATTGCCAAGGGAGAGTATATAGTATAAGAAATGCCTTCTGTAAGTATATTAGTAAAATTAATTAAACACAACACAAACAGACGTTAAAAACAGTGCTGTGTTTTGTTTTAATTAGGAGTCTATGGTGATGTACATCGAGTGAAGATTATGTTTAACAAGAAAGAAAATGCCTTGGTTCAGATGGCAGATGCAAATCAAGCTCAGCTAGGTACTAATGATTAATAATTATTAATAATGTGAACTTGCCCCTTTTGTGTGTGAATTTTCCTTGAAAATAAACATAGATAGTAGGAATATGATTTTACAAAAGAACACCTCCTTGTGATAATGTCTTCATTATTATAAGATTATATGTTAAGATTAAAAAATATTCATGACTCTTTTTAAGTCTGAAATTCATTTATCTACTTGAACACATTGTTAATGTTTAGAGCTTTGACCCTAGGATTTTTCCATTATGTTTAATAAACATGATTTGTTTTATTTCATTTTATTTATTTCTTTTCCTTCCAAATTAAGTTTTCTGTAACCATTGAATGGCTTAAAAGTTTGGGCAAACTTTGTAATGATGATGTAAGGAAGAGTTCAGTGACTTCACTGTTATAAAAGCTGTTAAAGTATTACTTAAAATTTCTTATAAAAGTGCTTTGCTTGAGATAAAACTAATATATTCAGTAACCATTTTTTGAATACTTGCTGTGTTCCAGGCACTCAAACTTCATAGCACTCTGCTTAGAAAATAGTTATTTTTTGTTTATTTTAAATTGCTTTTGTTATCGTAAAATGAAGTCATTTAATATATTTCCTTAAGGGTTTTTGGATTTTGAAACTCTTTTCACCTTCAAACTGACAATACAGTTTTAAATATGTAAAAATAATTTATGGTAATATTGACAAATATTACTGAAAAATCTATCCTAATACCCCAACTTTAAAATTTTTCTTCCCTTGCACTAGCAATGAACCATCTAAGTGGTCAGAGACTTTATGGGAAAGTGCTTCGTGCTACACTGTCCAAACATCAAGCAGTGCAGCTTCCTCGAGAGGGACAAGAAGACCAAGGTCTGACTAAGGATTTCAGCAATAGTCCTTTGCATCGCTTTAAAAAGCCGGGCTCTAAAAACTTCCAGAATATCTTTCCACCTTCAGCCACTCTGCATCTTTCCAACATTCCGTATGTACCTAATAAAGTTATTAATCCCAATCTACAATATGTGATTTTGGAGAGGTTAAAACCTCTGAAGTTGTTCTAACCTAGCACTTGTCCTGGTCAGTAATTTCTTAGAAGATAATTTGTTTGCCATCGTGCCTTCAGAAGGTTATTTCCAATCCTACACTCTAAAATAGAAAGATACCGGTTTTGAAATTTTCTTTCCAAATAGAGAATTTGCAACTATTTTTCAGTTATAAAAGGTCATAAAAATAATTATGCAGAAATCTTCCATTGGGACATATTTGTCTATCCCTTTGTAGAAGTAACAATTTATGTTAACCAATAGAACAGAATCAAAATAGTGTATCTAAGAATTTGGTAAAAACAGATTTTGTACTTTCTATCCACAAGCTGTAAAGCCATAGATATGTTAATTTCTTAAAAGCAAAAAGTTACTTTCCTGTAGGCACTGTACAAATCTCTTTATTAACTAGTGTTGTATGTGTGCTTTAGTTTAGTTATCTTCAAACTCAGGGATTGACAAACTGTAGCCTGTGGTTATTTTTGTATGGCCTATGAGCTAAGAATGATTTTTACATTTTAAAATGGAAGCAAAATATTTTGTGTTATGATAAAATTATATAAAATTCAAATTTCATCTTTTATAAAGTTTCATGTAATATAGCTGTACTCATTTACTTACATGCTATTTATGGCTGCTTTTGAGCTACAGCAGCAAAACTGATTAGTTGCAGCAGAGACGATAGGGCCCATACAGCCTAAGATATTTAGTGTCTGGCCCTTTCAAGAAAATATCTGGCAATCTCTGTCCTAATGGTTAAAGTCCTTAATCTACAAAAATGGCAGTTTAGTTCATGGACTTTGGAAATTGTTTTTTAAAAAGCCAGTTTTGTATAATTTGGACTAATACATAAAGGGGGATAAGCTTTGGAAAAGAGGGATAAAAGCTGTGGGGGAATATGTGTGTGTATGTGTATAAAAACTTAAAACCTTGAGGGTATAGAAGGGGGTGGAGTCTGGAATATTACTGGGAATGAGAACAGGAACTGAATAGGAATAGAGAATAATTACTCAGAAGAGTGTTGAATGTCCAGCCTCCCTGCTGGTTTCCAGTTAGGCTGCACAGAGAAACCTTGAATCCAAGTTGGGCAATGGATCAAACCTCATGCCAGCCAGGAAGCTGGTGGAGTCAAGGAAAAAAGAAAAGTAGATTAAAAATAGATCACACGGACCTAGAAATTTAGCAGCTCATTACTATGGAGTATAGGGTAAATGGGCAACAATTAGATACTGAGGCAGGCACCTATCATCATTAGCTTTTAATTTTTTTTAATTTATATATATTTTTTGAGACAGGGTCTCCCTCTGTTGCCCAGGCTGGAGTACAGTAGTGTGATCTTAGCTCACTGCAACCTCTGCCTCCCAGTCCCAAGTGAACTTCCCACTTCAGCTTCCCAAGTAGCTGGGACTGCAGGTGTGGGCTGCCATTAGCTAATTGTTTGTATTTTTTTGTAGAGACAGGTTTCACCATGTTTCCCAGGCAGATATCTGACTCCTGAGCTCAAGCAATCTGCCTCCCAAAGTGCTGGGATTAGAGGCAAGAACCACTGTGCCTGGCTCTGTTGTTAGCTTGCTCGCTCTATCTATCTATCTATCTATCTATCTATCTATCTATCTATCTATCTATCTATCTATCTATCTATTTTTCTTCACCCTTCACCTGAGAAATGTTGTTAGCTTTTTAAATACATCACATTACTCAAGAGCTGGTCTCCAATTGCAGCCTACATAGGACATGTAGGAAGATTAGGAAACGATATTAATATTCTTCCAAGTTCTGGGTACTGTACTGGTGCTTTACACATGTTGCCTCATTTAATCTCCATAACAACCTTTTAAAAAAAATTGTGATAAAATTGACAGTTTTAACCATTTTAAATGTATAGTGCAGTATATATTCACATTAAATACTTTCACACATTATTGTGTGACTGTTGCCTCTGTCCATCTGTAGAACCTTTTCATCATCCCAAACTGAAGCGGTAACCACCTTTTCCTCCTAACTCCCAGCTCCTGGTATCCACTATTACATGGCATTATTCATAATAACCTTTGAAGTAAGGTCAGTCTTTTCTTTGTATTAATGAAACTGAGACTTAGGTTAAATAATTTAGTCAAAGTGATAAATAGTGAGTGAGGAATAGAATGTGAACTCAGATCTGTCTTCTGACAGAGCTAGTGATTGTTCTGCTACACCATCCTTGCCGGCAGTTGTGAGTCAGTCTCCTTTTAGTCAGTTGACTGTCATGTGGTAGACCACTCTATTAGTTATATACGGCGGTCTAACAGATCACCCCAAACTTAACAGCTTAACACAGTAGTAATGTTTATTATCTCATACTGTTACTGCGAGTCAGGAATCTAGAAGTGGGTTAGCTGGGTGGCTTTGGCTGTGTCTTTTAGAAGGTTGCAGTCAAGATGCTAGGCAAGGATGTGGTCATCTGAACGCTTTAACTGGAGATAGAGGATCCATTTCCAAAATGGCTTACTCATGTGCCTGTTTGTTGACAAAGGCCCCAGTTCCTTGTCATGAGGACTCCTCCATAGTGCCTTCATAGTGTCCTTCCAAAGCTAATAATTCAGGAGAGGACATAGTAGAAACCACAATGTCTCTCAGCTTCAGAAGTCGTATTTGTCATTTCTACAGTATCCTAAGTGTTTGCAGAGGACACCTCTGTTTCCTATGGGAGGGGAATAAGCAAGGGAGTGAATATGAAGAGGCAAGAGTAATTGTGGGCCATCTTAGAGCCTGGCAGCCACACACACACATTCAGAATTACCCTGCAAACAGTTGAAAATGTAGAACTCCAGACTGTAGCAGACAAGTCAGAACTAGGAAACTTTGGAAGTTGATTACTGAAGCCAGTGTTACAAGTAATAAGAATAAAAACAGATTCCAAGCACAGCTGCATTTAAAAAAAAAAAAGAATATAGAAAGATTTTTCTTGCCCTTTATATACCTGCCCATGTCTTCTGTAAAGATTTGAGACAAAATTCCATTACTTGAGGATACGTGTCTGTTTTTGAACATCTTTCAGGGAACTTCCAAATCAAGTCTTTGTCATATGGCTTAATAATTCTGTTTGAAATGTAAGATACTCTAGAGATTTGATGACTACAAGAGTTATTCTGCTTGTGAATGGGGCCCAGGTAATTGACACCCTCTGATGTTTTCACAGCCCTTCTGTTACAGTGGATGGTCTGAAGAACCTTTTCATAGAAGCTGGATGTTCAGTGAAGGCTTTTAAATTCTTTCAGTAAGTCTTTGCTTTAAAAAAATACATTAAAATTATTTAATATGGTATGCAAATTTTAAAGGAAGTTCAGTGAAGTCTTCTGGTGGGGGAAGGAGTTTGGAAGCAAATTTTATTCTAAATACTTTCTGTATTTCTTATACCATTTTCAGGAAAGATCGCAAAATGGCGCTCATTCAGTTGGGATCTGTGGAAGAAGCAATTCAGGCCCTCATTGAGCTTCATAACCATGACCTTGGAGAAAATCACCATCTCAGAGTTTCCTTCTCAAAATCTACAATCTGAGAATTTTTCTCTTTTCTGTGAATTTTTCTCCTAAAACTGGACCATAATTTCAGTAAAACCTTCAGACATAGACTGAAGCAGTTCACAACCAATTTTGCCTCTTTCACAAAAATAACTCTGAGTTTGATATTCAAGTATATTTTAAAAATCAAGGGATATTCTTTTTTTCTATCCCCTCTTCCCCACCACTGCCAGTCAAAGGTTTCTTTTCCCTTTGTACCATGGTTTCTATGAAAATAACCTTCAGGAAAAAGAAAATCAGGAAAAAATGTTTTTTAAATAATTGTATTCCCTATATTAAATTAGATTTGAAGAGGATTAACTGTGTTTTAATTTGGGTCCAGATCAGCCTTATACAACATTTCCAAACTCCTTTGTATACTTTTAAAAAATTTAAACACTCAGACTTCTAAAATTACTTGATGGAAGTAATTTAAATCGCTTATGACCAAGTTATTGACCTTATGAATCAGAAGTCTGACCCTTGTAGGAAATTCTGTTCACTTATAAATTACATCAGATCTTTGCCATATATCAATGGTTATTATGCATAAACACATTGAATTGTGTGGCAGCAGATTTATAAACCTGCATGTTTTCTTTCAATGTTATCTTTTTTTCCCTGTAAGACACTCCTTTAAATAATGCCTATCTTTAACTTTTTAAGACTATTTGGAAAAACGAAGTGTCTCAGCTGTTCCCAGGGAAATTAAGTGGAATCCAACTAGGATCTGTTAAGAAGATGTCAGAATAACTAATAATTTTATCAGGAAAAAAGTGTTTTAAATTTCAAATGATACTTACTTGTCAAGTAATATGATCTTAGAAAATTTTAAAGAAAATAATTCTACTTATAAACTACTTTTTTATAATTGTTTTCAGAAAAAAGTTTACAGTCTTAAGGAAAATATTCAGGTCTATCATATGGTTTGACAGATTTTTTAAAAGTTATTTTTGGTAAGGTCTTCTTTTAGAAAAAAATTAATCTCAAGGGTTTTTTGTACCACTATAATCTCTAATACTCAAAATTACTGTGTATTTACTTAATTTCTTCTTATGTGCCTTATTATGTGCTTGAGATACAGTAGGTTAGAGTTTAATCTAGATATCTGGAAAGCTATATTGCGGACTCCATAAGCATTTTGTTTTTTCTTTCTCTTTTGGTAAGGTTTTAAAATTTTTTTAATTGCAATTTTAAGTGGTTTTCAGTAAGTAATAGTTTTTATCAAATTTTTGGTGCTTGGTGCAGAGATGGTGTGGGGAAGGGTGAATGGTTTGGGGAATAATTCAGTGCACACCTGTAGGCCTCTTTACATTGTGATTAATAGGTGTTGTTGCCAGTTATTATTGCATATCAATTTGGGGCTGTAGAGTGCAATGTCAGTTTCATCTTTATCACCCATCAGAATTTGTCTCAGGATTGCTTGGTTTTTCTCAATACTCAAGGGAGAACTTAATTTTCTTTGTTAATGTAACTTTATTACTGAGTGCCCACATACTTGGAGTATGAGAGGGTGGGTTATTTCTCATACTCTGTCCCTCTCTTTTTGGTTGAATGTAAGAGTACATTTTAATGTTGCTTCAGTGATTGTATAATGTAAAATTGTTTCTTTTTAATAAGAAACTTTGCTATTATTCCTTCAATTCTTTTTTTTTTGGAGACGGAGTTTTGCTCTTTTTACCCAGGCTGGAGTGCAATGGCACAACCTCGGCTCACCACAACCTCGGCTCACCGCAACCTCCGCCTCCTGGGTTCAGGCAATTCTTCTGCCTCAGCCTCCTGAGTAGCTGGGATTACAGGCACGCGCCACCATGCCCAGCTAATTTTTTGTGTTTTTAGTAGAGACAGGTTTTCACCTATGTTGACCAGGATGGTCTCGATCTCTTGACCTCATGATCCACCCGCCTCAGCCTCCCAAAGTCCTGGGATTACAGGCGTGAGCCACCGCGCCCAGCCATTCCTTCAGTTCTTAATCAGAATTTTTTAAAGCAGAATTTGTCAAAAGGGTCATTTTTGTCTACCCCTTTTACAGTTTTCAGATTCTCAAAGTGACTCATCTCAACTTTTAAAAGCATACAGAACATCTTCCTGGGTATGGTGGTGTGCACCTGTAGTCCCAGCCACAGGCGAGGAGGATCACTTGAGCCCGAGGAGTTCGAAGCTGCAGTGTGCTATGATCACATTTGTGAATAGCCACTCCACTCCAGCCTTGGAGCATAGTGCGACCCCTTCTCTAAAAAATACAAATGTAAAAAAATCTCAATCTCTTTTCTATATTCTAGTGATTAATTAGAACATAGGGAGGTTTTTTACAGTAGAAATTTTACCAAAAAATAGAGACTGCAAGAGATGATACAGATTATTTAAAAAAGCAGAATTCACTCACCACTGAGCAACACTTAGTTGGTAGAACAGAAAAGAGCATACTAAATTAAGACCTTTCTAATGGATCAGTTTCCCCGAATAGATAGGTATAATTATGTATATAGTTGTGGGGTTTTTTTGTTTTTTTTTTTTACTTAGGAAATAAATTTTTACCTAGACACAAGGGGTGTATGAAGGAGGAAAAAGATTTCTTTGCAAAATCTCCCAAAATTTGCTTCCCTCCTCCCCACCCAGGCACTATTTATAATTTTCAGTGCCATGCTAAATTGGATTATTTCATTTACTTTAAGTTAGGAATTATTGTGTAATTTATTAATTCATGATTCTTACAACATTCAGCATAAGTGTAGCAAAAGTTGCTAATAACAGAAGGGAGATCATAATGGTGTTGAATGTAATTTTGAAGTAGGGAATGGCCTTCAAGTCTGAGAGAGAACATTTGAATCCTTTTCAGGGATTTGTGTAGGGGTGTGTTTGTGTGTGTGTGTGTGTAGATAAGTGTATATACATAAATACACTCTTCTAAAGTTGTATATACATATGCACATTACATACATTTTAATTTATTGACAAAATTAACCAAATTAAGATTTGGAGATGTGGGATGTTCTTGTTTTAAAATAGCATGTTTGAAACCATCAGTTTATGTCTAAAATTAGCTGTAGCACATGGATGTTGTCCATATTTAGCTATTCGCTGTTTGAATTACAGTATTTGTGTTGGCATAGTTTTTATAAAAAGATTAAAAAGTATCAGGATGGTGGAAAAACTAGAACTGTGTATTTCTGTTTTGGCATGCATTTATTCAGTATCTTGTAGCAATGGTTGATTTTTTTCTCTGTTGATCTACCATAGTATCCTATTTTTAAGTTTATTTGCTTTATTTTAAGGAGTATTGTCATCACTTTTCAAGATGTCTTGACTTCTACACAAAGTATATATATTCAGGACTTTAAAAAATAGCAGTACACATTTAACAGTAGCAAATTACATCATAATGATTTATTTTGAGATCTGAATAATTTGCATAGCAATAAAATGTGTTTTATGTAACATACAAATAGAAAAATGACCCAGTATCTTAATTGCTACTTACTGGAGAGTATCAGAATTACTTCTGGAGAGTATCAGAATTGCTACTTACTGGAGAGTAGCCCTTACATAATGCCATAAATACTTTAAGACTAAATATTATAATCAGTTATTTGAAGTAATGTTTCTGATTTACTGTTAAACGTTGCCGTTGCCGAGCTCAGTTTTTGGAGATACAGTTTCTGCCTACCTGTTTCCTTATGAGAATGAGACCTCTTTTGGCTCCAGCTAGTATGATGATCATGGGTTCTGCTTTAGTTGCTAAGAAGTGGCTCCTATGACTGCCTCTGTTCAGTTTCTTTTTTTAAATTTTTTTTTGGGGGGAAGTCTCGCTATGTTGCCCAAACTGATCTCCAACTCCTGGGCTCAAGTGATCCTCCTGCCTCCGACTACTGATAGTGCTGGGATTACAGGCATGAGCCACCACGCCTGACTCTGTTCTTTTCAAAGTCTCCATGCCATCAGTCAGCAATGCTTATATGTTTAGCATATTGTCATGCCGTTTATCTTCTGTTCCCACTAGATATTTTTGGATAAAAAAATGACAAACTCAAAAGTATGGTCTTTTTCCCCACCTATCTCTTAGAAAACCTAATATGTACTGCTATTTTTAAAACCAAAAAGAGACAGCATGACGACGTGTAAAGCATTTTTCTTAAGCCTTTCCTTTGTCTTGATCTGTTGTTAACGAGAACAAAACTGCCAGACTTAAAATACTCAACTATTGTGCTAAAAGAAATACAACTTAGATTGCACAAAATCAGAAAATATAACTCAGCTGTCTTTTAAGATTGTGTTGTTATCTACAAGACTATTAGCAGTCTTTTTTCAGAGCAAATTTTAACAGCTAGTTGTGAATGGTTTAAAAAATAGAAAATTATTAAAATCTTAGTTTGAGGGGTTTTATAGTGGGAGAAAAAACAGGACCAAAGTTTATGTGCCTTCTTCAGTAGTCTTAATTGACCTTTTCTTCCTATTTGAGACTAAAATAGTATCAGTATTCTGGTTTTCAGGAAATATGTATTATATAGTTTTAAAAGAATGTTGTCCCGCCAACTATTCATCCAAGCAAAGAATTGTAACTGTATAAATGAAGTCTCAGTTACACTTTTGCCTTTATCACATAATATTCATTATAGAGCATTGTGCAGGTCCAAGAATAGAGCTGCTCAAAATCTTTGTGGTAGTTTCCTTAGTTTTTGTATTCTGAGGCATATGTTCCAGAGAACAGGGATATTTGTCTGGTCCAGTAACCTTGGTGATCATAGTCATAATCAAAAGCTGCCTACGGCATGCTTAAATCAGCACTGTCACCTGGTTTGTTGTTGTTGTATTATTTTCACTTCTTGGATCTATGTAGTAGTTGTAATAACAAATATTTAAATAGCTATTTTTTTGATGCCATTAAAATCATACTCTGGCCTTTTTTCCCCCTTGCCATTGCTTCCCAGATCTTTTAAAAATTCATCCCATATCCAGAAAGTACCAATTAAAAAGATTGCTGACCAAGCAAAGCTTTGCATCAAAATGTCACCTCATTGCTCTGACCAAAGACTGACTGTTCTGGTTTTAACTCCTCTCTGTGAAGCATTTTCCCCAAGCTCCTTTCTGAAAGAAGACCCAGTGCAGAGCGGCCTTTACTTTCTATTTCCTACTGGTGAATAGACTACTTAGAGAAAATGGGAGTTTCAGTGTGAACAGAATGGATTAGGATGACAAGAGTTTGATGGGCATTTTCAGTACTGTATTTAAGAAAAAAAAAAATAGCACAGCTAGGAGCCTCTGACATTGTCTGGTGTTTTACGTGGTCTGTTCATAAAAATTCCCCTTTTCAGTTTGTAAGAATGAAACTGCTAACAGAAGAAAATGCTGTAAATATTTGTAACAACATTTTTTTTTAACAAGGCCAAAAAAGACAAAAAGGTTTTTGGGAACAAATGAACTTATAAAGTGGTTTTATATAAAACATCAATTGTCTTGTATATTTTGGATAAACAGCAGTACCAGCTTTCATTTGTAACAGAGTTTGTGGCATTGGAAAAAAAGGATTCTGTGATTGTTGAAGTGAATTATGTTATAAATGCAAAGAAGATAAAATATTAAAAAACATATTTTCTAAATGCGTAGTGCATGGTTAATTCAAGCTTCTGTACACTACAGTATATTCCGTTTTCGTTCAGTTTGTATATTTGCCGACTATTACTTGATATCTCTAATCTCTTTTCCTAACAAATACAGCATTGTAGCATGCCTTTTAATAAATGTCATGACATCTGTACTCTCTTAAAATTTTTCTGTGTTCTTGTCTGTGCTTTGGGTTTTCCCTTGTCTTACCTGTAGTTCTAATGATGTCCTATTTTCTTTTCTTTTCCATAGCCATCCATGTAAACGTCTCATGATTAGATAATAGTGAGCACATTCAAACAATGTTCAAAATGGGAAGAACACAAAACCTAACTGTCTCTGCCTTCATTTAGGAATACTGATTTTGAGGAGCAAAGTGCTTTTCTGATCTTATGATGTACCTTCTCCAGCACCCCGCTGTAGTGCAGGTGCATGATAGCATGCTTTATTGCCCACACATTCACTCTCCTTTTTCTCTCTCTCCCCCATATATGCAGTACCAGAGTACAGTCGGAACACTATTTCCAGTTTAGTTCAGTATTTGGCTTCCCTCTGGCATTAGTATACATATACTTTGAGACACAAAGTGTGATCTCAAACCAAGTTTGTATCCTTTTCAAAAAGATAACAGATATCAGCTGATGATATATTGCTTTTCCTTAGACAAATGTTTTACTTCTCTGGTCTTTAAAACATTGTTGGATTGCAGAAGTCTAGACTTAGCATTCATTGTATATTTTAGTCTCTTGTTGGTGGGAATTTATTTCGAATGGAATAGAAAATTGGGTAATCACTGCTGATCTTTTCTGGCTTACCTGTAAAATCTGTGGTCTCCATGAATACTACTAGAGAATTAAGTAAATATTGATGTATTTTAGCATGAGACATTTTTATCAGGAAAAGATAAAATAGCCATATGACTAAATGAGGCTTTTATAAACTCAATTGGCTGTGAAATGTTTATTTACGTAGCAGAGGCGTTATAACCATCATTAAGAGTCATGCAGTGACCTAAGAGACCACCTAGTTCAATTTCCAGTTAACAGCAAGGAAGCCAGGTCTCCATGACTTGGTCTAGTTTACTCTATTACACCGAGGTTCGCAGTTTCATACTTCCAAGTGCTGGTAAGATTACAATCTTGAAGATGTGTACACAGTATTGGGGTACTTAAGTTTTCTCTTAAAAGCCATAGGATCATAGCTCACTGCAACTTTAAGACATTGAGAACGTGGCGAGAGTGTTTCTGATGAAGGGTAAAAATGCCTGATCTACTTCTGAAAAAATTTTAAATGTTTCACATTTTAAATTTGAGAAAACTAACTCAAAAGATGACTTGATACTAGTTTGCCAGGGCTGCTGTTAAAAAGTCCCACAGACTGGATGCCTTAAACAACAAAATGAGCTCACAGTTCTGGAGGCTAGCAGTCCATGATCCATGTGTTAGCAGTGTTGATTTCCAATAGGGCCTTTCCTTGGTTTGTAGATAGCTGTCTTTTCCCTGTGCCTTCTATAAGCTCTTCTGAGTGTGTCTGTGTCCTAATCTCTTATAAGGACATCAGTCAAAATTTAATGAGGGCTTATTCATATTATCTCATTTTATCCTAATTGTTTAAAGAGTATGTCTCTGAATGGACTTACATTCTGAGATTATGGGGATTAGGACTTCTATATAGGAATTTGGGGTGGGGGACACAAAATTCAGCCCCATAGCACTGTTGTATTCATTCAGTTCAAGTACTAATGTACCAGCACTTGAGCTAGGGGTTGGGAAAAATACAGAGTTAAGCACATGGTGACTTATCTTTTAGAACTGTGTAATGTAGTAGAAATGTCAGCCGAAATCCACAAATCAAAACAATGCTTTTGTACTCCTGCCTTCAATAGGAATCCCCAAAAATGTATCATGAGGACCTTCTGAGGCACTTCTAATCAGAATACATACAGCTATAACTATCCTACAGCTAGTTGTGAATATGTAGGAATATAGACCTTGCCATAATTATCTACCTTTTACTCTTAGAGAAATAAATAGCCATTTCAGAGCGATGATTATTTCTAAGACAAATGCCATTACTTAAAGAACAATTGTAAAAATAAGAGGACATCATCAAGCTGTGCCCAATATTAAATATCTAACATTTGTTGATAGTCAGAAGTGATAAACCTATTTGTAGTCTTGTTTCTACATCAAAGTTTTTTTTCTGTTGTCTTTCAACCTACAATAGGAATTCATCACTATTTGCTATGTGTTTTTATCAAAACAATTTATGCTGAAGTGATAAAACTCTCGTAAAAATACCACATTCAGCAGCCACTGGGTTCTGATGTAGTTTCCAACTCTATTAGTATAAAGAAACCGGAAAAGTTAATGATTCTAATGTTTCCAGCAGATTCATAGGCCTATTTTTCTTTCTGTTTTTGTTATGTTTTGAGTCGCACTGTGTTGCCCAGGCTGACGCAGCCTCAAACTCCTGGGCTGAAGCTTTCCTCCTGTAGGTGGGACTACAGGTACCTGCCACCAAGCCTGGCTAATTTTTTTTTACTTTTTATTTTTGTAGAAACTGGGTCTCACTTTGTTCCTTAGGCTAGTCTTGAACTCCTGGGCTCAAGCAATCCTCCCTTCTCAGATTACAGCACAAGGCACTGGGATTACAGGGGTGAGCCACTGCGCCCAGCCTTTGCTATTTTTTTATCCCTATATTTATTCTAAGGATATAGACAGGGTAACAGGAAAAACTCAATATTTTTTTTGGAATAAATTGCCTTCTAATCACTTGATAAGCACTTCTATCATTATTCTATGCCTAAAATTAGAGAATTATCTGCTAAGTCCTTGATCCTGCAGAATACAAATGTCACATTCTAACCTATTAAGAGATTGTCTTCAACCAAAATAAAACTGGTATTAACTACATTAATGTTAGACAAAGTACACTTTAGAGCAAAAGGCATTATCAGAGATAGATTTCATAATAACAGAGTTATATAATATAGTAATGCAACTGAACAAAATGAAGCTCTTTCCACTACATGGAAGAATCTCACAGATGTGATGTTGAACAAAGGAAGCCACGCACAAACATTTACTGTGTTATTGACATGGAGTTCAGAAACAGGTACCTTTGGGAAGGAGGTAATTGAGAGTATGAGGAGGGGTTTCTGGTATCTGGTTAATGTCGTTTGTAGCAGTTACCCAGGAGGTTTTCAAAAATTACTATAATTGAGCAAGGAGTTATCAACCAATTCCCTTACTTCTTAAGTCAGGAGATTATTCTAGCCAATAAGTAAGGCCTTGTTACAAAGAACCTAAGATACCATGGAGTTTCACCGTGAAACTCTCCTACATAGGCCTATATTGCATTTCTCTGACCACGGAATATCTATAGGAAAAATATTTCACTGACATGTTTTCAAGTAAATTTTACCCTTCTAAACAGTTTTACATCTGACTAGATTCAGAAAGAGATTTAACTAATGTGATTTGGTTTTGTCACTGTAACTCTGATCGGGTGAGCTATGTGACATCTAACCCCTAATATTTTTCCCTTTTATTTTTTGAGACAGGGTCTCACCTGTGTTGCCCAGGCTGAGTGCAGTGGTGACATCAACAGCTCACTGCAGCCAGCCTCCCAGACTCAAAGCAGTCATCCCATCTCAGCCTCCCAAGTAGCTGGGACTATAGGCACCCACCATCATACCCAGCTGAGTTTTGATTTTTTGTAGAGAAAAGTTCTCACTATGTTGCCTAGACTAGTCTCAAACTCCTGGACACAAGCGATCCTCCCACCTTGGCCTCCTGAAATGCTGAGATAACAGGAGTGTGCCACTGCACCTGGCCTCCTAATATATTTTGCCAGAAGAAGCCAGAAAGACCTACGTAGGTCTCTAGCAACCTAAAAGAAGACTTTATAAAAATTAAGATTTTTTTTTTTTGAGATTGAGTCTTGCTCTGTCCTCCAGGCTGGAGTGCAGCGGCACAATCTCGGTTCACTGCAGCCTCTGTTTTCCAGGTTCAAGTGATTCTCTTGCCTCAGCCACCGAAGTAGCTGGGATTACAGGCATGTGCCATTACACCCAGCTAATTTTTGTATTCTTAGAAACAGAGTTTCACCATGTTGGCCAGGGTGGTCTCAATTGAACTCCTAACCTCAAGTGATCCACCCACCTCGGACTCCCTAAGTGATGGTATTACAGGCATGAGCCACTGCACCCAGCTAAAAGTTAAGATTCTTAATACACAAACAAGTATTACTCTGATAAACTCCCATGTACCCAGTACCCAACTGCAACTAGTGGCCAATTTTGTTTAATCTGTTCTCCCCATTCCTAGGATTACTTTTATTTTCTCATTTTTATTTTTATTTTTATTGTTAGAGACGGAGTCTCTTGTTGCCCAGGCTGGAGTGCAGTGGTGTGGTCTTGGCTCACTGCAGCCTTTGACTCCTGGGTTCAAGCAATTCTGCCGCAGTCTCCCTAGTAGCTGGGACTATAGGCGCACACCACCACACCTGGCTATCCTAGGATTACTTTTAAACAAATCTCAGTCAATCATATAATTTCATCTATAAGCATTTCAGTATAGAAGTTCATACATACATTGCAGTTGATAAAGGCTTTTACCGTTTACTTTTCCATCCTATTTTTCCTTTTTTGGTAATTTATTTGTTGGAGAAACAGCTATTTGCTCTGTAGAAAATTCTAACATGAATTTTGCCAATTACATGTAAATCAAGAAGAACTCATTCTGATTCTGTTTTTTTCTTCTTTTTTCCCTGCCTCCCCTTTCTCTCTCTCTCTCTGTCTCTCTCTCTCTCTCTTTTGTTACAGTACTTCATTGATGGCACTGTGTACTTCCATAATGTGTCTTTTCTTTTGATGGCAGTATTCATTGATCATTGCCTAGATCCATTAATTTTTAGGGACTGTATCATGTCAAAGCTCTAATTCTAATTCCGTTTGTCTGTATAAGTTGGATTTCTTCTATATAAGAGAAAC